TAAAGTCACTATCGTTTAAAATCATTTATTCTTTATTAATAGATTATAAAAGAGGGAGGGAACCCGGGTGGGGTTTGGGAGGAGGATCGGTGAGAAGGAAAAGGCCACTAAAAAAGGTTAAAAAATGATAGCCTTTTGCTTGGGCTGTCCACTGGGGTGGAATGGGAAGGTGTACGGAGCCTTTCCCCCCCCTCCCGCCCTACCCCCCCACGTTCTTACACGTATGGGTGAGGAGGCTATGGAACATGGGGAGGGGGGTTATACAGGGGCTGTAGCGGCACTCTGTTATCCTGCTGCTGTTCCTGAAGCTCCACCAGATGCCGGAGCATGTCTGTTTGCTCACGCAGCAGCCCCAGCGTTGCATCCTGCCTCTTCTGATCTTCCTGCCGTCACCTCTCATCTCGAGCGTCTCTCCTCTCCTCACGTTGGTCCCTCCTGTCCTCACGTTCACTGTCCCGGAGCGACCGTTTGCCTCCTTTGTTTTTTGATAGGCTTGTCTGAGCTCCTTGACTTTCACGTGGCACTGATCTGAGTCCCTATTGTGGCCTCTCTCCATCATGCCCTTGGAGATTTTTTCAAAAGTTTTTGGCATTTCGTCTTTTTGAACGAAGTTCTGCTAGCACTGAATCCTCTCCCCATATAGCGATTAGATCCAGTACCTCCCGTACGGTCCATGCTGATGCTCTTTTTTGATTATCGGCCTGCATGGTTACCTGTGCTGATGAGCTAATATGTGGTCACCTGTGCTCTCCACGCTGGGCAAACTGGAAATGAAATTCAAATGTTCGCGGGGCTTTTCCTGTCTACCTGGCCAGTGTATCCGAGTTCAGATTGCTGTCCAGCGCGGTCACAATGGTGCACTGTGGGATAGCTCCCGGAGGCCAATACCATCGACTTGCGGCCACACTAACCCTAATTCGAAATGATAAAATCGATTTTGGCGCTACTCCGCTCGTCGGGGTGGAGTACAGAAATCGATTTAAAGAGCCCTTTATGTCGAATTAAATGGATTAGTTGTGTGAACGGGTGCAGGGTTAATTTGATTTAACGCTGCTAAATCCAAATTAAAGTCGTAGTGTAGACCAGGCCTATGAGTTTAGTTCGAATTTAGCAGCGTTAAATCGAATTAACCCTGCACCCATCCACACAATGAAGCCATTTACTTCGACATAAGGGGCTCTTAAAATCGATTTCTATACTCCTCCCCGACGAGAGGAGTAGTGCCGAAATCGACATTGCCATTTCGAATTAGGGTTAGTGTGGCCGCAAGTCTGGCATATATGATGTGTTGGTTGATGTATGCCCAGCTGACGATGTATGCCCAGTCTGTCGTAATGAATGCTACTCCCACTCAGTGTTTGTTATCACAATGACTTGAACAAATGAAAATTTTCTTTTCGTGCTAGAAGTGCTTCTTGTCCACACCTGGTCAATCTGCTCTCACTGATGTCCAGGATTTTGAGTACATAGTTATCCATTTCCCTCATGATTTGCGAGATTGTTGATGTTTGAAACATTGTTCTTGCATTCCAATAACCAACTTTGAAGTGTTTTCTTGCTGCATCATCCACCTTTGTGGGGTCTTGGCTTCCACAGACTGGCTTTCTCCAGAACCCTTCATGAAACATAAGGCATTGGCAGCCATCTGTAATGGAGTGGTAGCTTGGTTCCATTTCTATAACCAGTGAGGTGGTTTTTGTTTGTTTTTTATGGGGGTAGATGTTTGCCTTGTGCTCAGTCCTTCCGATTTTATCCAGGTTTAGGAGCAGCAGCCACGTCAAGGTGCAGCAGGTGCGTTTAACACAAGGTGAACACACTCATAAAGGTGTAAACACTTCTCCAGTGCTGGCAATCAATTTAATCAAGGTTAAAAAAAGTCAGGTGTAGACAAACCCCAGCTGAGGCTAGACACTGGTTCCCATTCTGATTAAACATTCTGCTAGAAGACACGTAGGAGCTATGATCCATTCCTCTTCTCTGTGAAAATGAATGAGTATATCCGTGCCACCCACACAGTTTCTAATAGATAGTGAAAATACAATACCCATCTCACAGATTTTACAAATAGATAAAACAGGTATTTTACAAATAGTAGTTAATATTTATACTTATTGGAGGATTGTCAACCGCAAGCCCCTTTTTGGATGTTTTAGCATTAATGCTTTGAGATAATTAATATATTAGCTTGAAATAGGATGATGCATTTTTCCTGTATTTCACATTTTCAGGCTTCTTTCCAGCGCTCTAATAGTCATGACAAAGTGAGGAAAATTGTTGCAGAAGAGGGTCGTACAGCAAGAAACCTTATTGCATGGAGTGTCCCACTGGAAAGCAAAGAGGACGATAGTAAGTATTTAACTTCCTTCCCCCCAACCTTCCCTTATTCTCCCACCCAAAAAAGAAGTTTGTTTGAAGTAAAAATGTTTATACCTAAAAATTGTATTTTAAATTTGATAACTGCTTAAAACATAGATATCATCAATATTTTAAAATAATTTCTTCAGTATGCTTCCTGTTTAATTAAATTATAATTTTGTAAAATGTATACAAAAATTTGATAAAGATGAAATAAAAGGTATCTTTACTGTTTTGTCCCCCTTTGTTGACTGTAACCAGGCTGGTTACAGTCAGCCTCCTATGTGCCCCCTTGTGAGCTGGGTTTACGCTACAGGCAGTCTGCCTCAGTTTCCCCTCTTGGACTGTTTAAATACACTTCAGGCTTTTTGTTGGTCAAAAATACCTTCTTTTGGGACTTGGTTTATTAATATAAAATAATCTGTAAATAAAACTCAACCCCCCAAAACAAAGTCCATTGATGAGTCCACACAGCCCAAGGGTTTTCTTCCTCCTTCCAGGGTCTGTGTGTGTGTGTGGGAGGCGCATGAGAAGGGAAAGTGCAAGAGCAAGGCATAATCCCATCGCTTTAGGGAACAAACCCTAGAGGTAGTGTGTGTGGTGGGAATGGGTAAAAACGTATTCAGATATCCCATCCTGGAAGTGCTGACAGCACAGAGCGGGAGACAGGAAGCGTCAGGCAAATTCTGAAGTGCTGTAGGACCTTCAGCACTGGGATATTCAGGGTCTTTACCTAACACTCTTGTTGAACTCTGGCAAACAAGGAGGATAGCTATATCCTTTGTGTTTATCAACTATAAAACAAAATGAACATGGGTTACAATTGCCCAGTATTTCAAAGGACATTAAGACTCTACAGTGTCAGCCTCTGACCTTTTTACTGCAGCCTTATCCCAACTATCCTGCCTCACTGGAGTTCCTGCCTGAAGTGTATAAGCACAGTCTGCAAAGCTTTTATATATAGCACAGTGGTTCCCAAACTGGGGTTCACAAAATGTTAAAGGGGGTTCTCGGGAAAAAATTCCCTAATGGCAGACAGAGCTGTCCCGAGGGACCCCGGGCAGCCCAGGGCCAGCAGCCCAGAGCCCCTGGACTTCCAAGAGCTAAGCAGATCAAAGCAAGCATCTCTATCACACTGAGGAGATTTAAACTTCAAGACTCCTTATAAGAAATGCAAAGGGAGGTGGATATTTTTTGCTGTTTTTAAAATGAAATAGGCAGCTAGTATTGTTTTTAAAATTATTATGAAGAACAAGTTTAAGCTTTGTTGTAATGTGCATTGTTTGCCTGGACTGCTCAAGACCTGAATGCTTGTGTAGGAGGAACTCTTTGAGTTGGCTTCTTAAATACCTTCATTCTTTCACATCTGCTACTCCTTGATGAAACATAGGAGCCTTATCTTATAACAGGCTTATTCAAAGTGATACAAGCTACGAAAGTGAGATCTTGATGTTTTCATAATGTAATAAAAATACTGTAATGATAAATAATAATTAATAGTAAATAGTGTGTAATACGCATGTCATAAAAACAAATTTTATATTTCCAAGATCACTGCTTTAATAATTTATACTCAGGTAAATGAGAAAATCCCTGGAAATATTCATTTTTAGGAGGAGGTTTGCAAGACTTGACATTTTAGTGAAAGGGGTTCACAGGTTATTAAAGTTTGGGAACCACTGATATAGCAGAATTATCAATATGGCATCTGTTTTTCTTACTGGTTACTGCTGACATGTGAATCCTTAAATTAGCTATATGTAGTAAGACAAGGCAGAACAATGGCTAGTTGTTTAAGAAGTGGCTGTCAGATTTATTTTGTCTCTCTCTGAATCAAGCTGGAGAAAAGGGACAACTGCTATTTCCCTATCAGGTACAATACACTTAACTTCTATGAGAAGGAAAAGAAGAAAGAAAGAAAATAAATTAAGGCTTTCTCTTTTCATTGGGAGACTCTAGCCTTCTATCTCAGTATTCACTTTGGCAACACTCCTTCACTCTGTTTACCCTTTAAACAGGGAAATTAGAGAGGTGTCCTTTCTGCTCTGGGTTAGGGTTGTAAAAACGTGGGGCTGTACCAGTTGAGAAGAGAGAGTTTTACATGATTTTACTCCATCTATATCACACCTACAAAGAACGTAAGAGAATTTCAAGTGTAAAGAAGGGAAAGGAGACTCTCCCTATGGTCTGAAGGAGGGACAGGAATGGAGCTTGCACTCTCGCTCTTCAGGAGCTCAAATATCTAAACAAAATAAAAACAAGGGGATGACCAGAAACCCTTTTGTCCCCAATACTGTTCCCTGAAAGCCCCCCTTCCCCAGGCCCCAGATGATTAAATGGGAAAAAATCAGAGAACGTGTCATAGCTCAAACACTGGGGTCTCTGCCTAGTTTTAGAGTAAGTTACTATAAACTATTTGCTCTCTCTGTGCACAGCAATGAGTTGCAAATAATTCTTGCTAAGAAGGAACATGTATTTTCAGAGTCTTACAGTGTGAACACATTCACAAGAATGGGATGTTGCCACTGTTCAAGTGGAAGAACGTTTATGTCTAAACCATAAATATTAAATTGAAAAATCTGTTAACAGTAAATTGGAGACAGCAGAGCCATCAGAACAAGGAAATATATTGACTGCATTGTTGTGCTCAAGTACAACAGTCTTTCTTTAACTAGGTGATTATTTGGCACTCATCACCATAGTATCTAAGACAACTCTGTTGCTACTTTTTTTTTAAATTAAACATAGATGCTATAGTTGCCTTTTTTTAAATGTTCTATCTGCATAAGTCTCATTATGTTGTTGGGGGTCTGTACTTTGGTGTCTCAGAATTAAAATGTTAATTAATGAGAGGCTATCCCTTTTGAATATGTACCTTAGAATGGGATACAAAACCTTTTCTGTAAGTGCCATTGTGAGCAAAGTTGACCTGTATATATGAATATGAAAACATTTTGAAAAATTACAAATATAAGAGCTCCAGTGCATATACAAACTGTTACTTTAAAAAAAAACTTCTAACAAACTTTGTCCATGTCAGAGTAATAATATTTAACAATTATATAGTGTTTATCATTAGTGAACATCAAAGCATTTTCAAAATTTTAGAGTCAAGATTTTCCATAAACTGTTCTGCCTTTAAAGGGACACCATCAACTTAAAAATCACAGTTCTTCCTGAATTGTTTTTAAGCTACTACTGTTACAGAAATGGAGGAGAGAAAACATTTGGAAAATTAGGAAAGTGTTGTAAAACTGCAGAAATTGATAGAAGGATTCAGTTGCAGTATCTGAAACTTCTTTAAATTGGCTAGGTTTCAGGTGGATAATATCTATTTAATTTTCCCTGAATATGAAAATGAAAGTAGGCCATCACCACTCAGAATCAGTGTTAAAATGTTTAAACAGACACAATGTGGAGACATGGAATTTTCACTGGTGCCCTTGAAGTACCATTTCACAGCTGTACTTTTCCAGCTATGATCTTAATACAGTATAATTAGTTTGATAGAACTGTTGGTTTGTTGGATGTGAATATTAATTCTGCTTTTGAATTATACCTTAGTGGTGTGCAAGATCAGTGCGGACTGTTGTCTTCCCTGGAAACTGAAAGCTTATACTTACAGCATCTGAGTACTCCTTTTTCCCTAAATCTGTATTTTGGAAGATCCAACATTTTAAAATGTCTTCATCTTAAAATACTAGTATTTTTGAATATTTTTTCTGTGATAAGTACTGTTGTACCTAAACTAGTGTAACACTGAGTAGAAGTGTTGCCGTTAATTATTGTGGAGCCAGGTCCTTAGCATATGTTCTCGCTGGCAAGGCTAAATGTCAACACCAAAGTGAATACATAAAATGGGATGATTTTTTTTTGGGGGGGGGGAGAGTTGTAGCAGAAAAACCTAAAATAAAAAGGAAGAATCATAGAAATGCAGGGCTGGAAGGGTCCTTGAGGAAGCAGGACCAGGTAAACCTAGACCATCCCTGACAGGTATTTATCCATCCTATTCTTAAAAACCTCCAGTGACGGGGATTCCACAAACTTCCTTGGAAGCTTATTCCAGGATTTAACTACCCTATCTAACCTAAAACTCTCCTGCTTCAGATTACACCCATTATTTCTTGTCCTACCTTCAGTGGGCAGTCTTCTTTCTCAAGACTAAACATGCCCCGTTTTTTTTAACCTTTCCTCATTAACCTTTTATCATTTTTGTTGCTCTCCTCTGGACTCTCCAACTTTTCACCATCTTTCCAAAAATGTGGTGCCCAGAATTGGACGGAGTACTCCAGCTGAGGACTAACCAGTGCCAAGTAGAGCAGAACAGTTTCCTCCCCGTCTTTTACATATAACACTCTTGTTAATACATCCCAGAATATTAGCCTTTTTCGCAACTGCATCATATTGTTGACTCTCATTCAATTTGTGAGCCATTAATAACCCCCCGATCCTTTTCTGCAGTACTACCACCAACCAGTTATTTCCCATTTTGTCGTTGTGCATTTGATTTTTCCTTCCTAAGTGAAGTACTTTGCACTTATCTTTATTGAATTTCATCCTATTGATTTCTCACCAATTCTCCAATTTGTCATGGTCGTTTTGAATGCTAATCTGTCCTCCAAAGCACTTGCAACCACTCCCAGCTTGGTGTAATACATAGATTTTATAAGCATATTCTCCATTCTGTTATCCAAGTCATTAATGAAAATATTGAATTGTACTGGATCCAGGACTGACCACTGCGGAGCCCACTAGATATGCTCTCCCAGTTCAACAGCAAACCATTGGTGACTTCTCTTTGAGTACAGTCTTTCAATCATTTGTGCGCTCACCTTACAGTAATTTCTGCTAGGCCCTAGTTTGCATATGAAAATGTCGTGTGGGACAGAGTGAAAAGCCTTACTAAAATCATATTATGCCACTTTTACTGCTTCTGCCAATCCACTAGGCCAGTAATCAGAACAAAAATGCTCAGATAACTTGTTTTCCAA